CTCAAGAGGTGCTCTTCCTGTACTTAGAGGGAAGTAGCATCCTCATTTTTGAAGACAAAAGACACGGGAATATGAATGCAGAGGTCTTGCTAAGTTTTCCTGTTTACTACTTGTATCAGTCTGTTTTCTGTTGCTTATGACAGAATACCTAAAACTGGGTAATTGGTAAAGACACAAAATTTATTTCCTGTAGTTCTGGCGGCTGGGAAGTCCAAGGTTGAGGGGCACATCTGGTGAAGGCCTTCTTCCTGGTGGGGACTCTGCAGAGGTGGTGGCATAGGGAATCCATGTCTAAGAGGGCTGAACATGTCAACATGATTACTTGCTCTCCTTATAAAGCCACTAGTGCCACTCCTGTGATAACCCATTTATCCATTAACCCCGTAATCCATGAATGGATTAATCCATTCATCAGGGCAGAGCGCTCATGATCCAATCGTTTCCCAGAGGACCCATCTTTTAAATACCATTGTCAGGTTTCCCACCCTCTTAACACTGTTACAATGGGGATCAAGCTTCAACATGAATCTTGGGGGGACATTCAAACTATAGCACTGCCTTTAACTCACATCTTTGTTCCAACACATTCTTCCATGACTCTCCAGTCATCAACAAAACTCGCATAAAAACACCCAGGTGTAACTGCTTTTTCGGTTCTTCATTTCCTTAAGAAGGCTCCCCTGTCACATCAGACTTGTAGTAAATAAACTTGTATTCTTCTATTAGTGGGGCCCCAGCCAGGAACTCTATAGGGTAGAAGGAAAAGATATTTTTCTTTTTTTTTTTTTTTTAAAGATGACCGGTAAGGGGATCTCAACCCTTGGCTTGGTGTTGTCAGCACCACGCTCAGCCAGTGAGCAAACCGGCCATCCCATATATGGGATCCGAACCCGTGGCCTTGGTGTTATCAACACCGCACTCTACCGAGTGAGCCACAGGCCGGCCCAGGAAAAGATATTTTTCCTTCTCAACAGCACCATGTACCTATCCCCCAGCTTAAGACATAAATCCCTGGCACCAATACAGGTGGAACCTGTGTGTGCCCTCCTCCCCGGAGGTAACCAGGAGCTTGTATTTGGAATGATGCTTTCTTTAAAGCTCTTAAAGGAGTGCAGTTACCTTTAAGGTTTTAAGTGAAATTAATCTTTGCAATTCCAGTATCCGTTTCCACACTATAACTTGAGATACTATGGTCTTGACCTAGACATTATTGTTCTTCTGATGTCTGTTTACATAAATAACTAGGAGAAAAATGAGCAGCCCTGTTGAAAGGCAAAACTTGTAAACTTCCCTTTAAAAATAAGGGCCCCATTCTTGTTTCTAGGGGTTATCACTTTTCATTTCTCTAAGCCTGAAAAATCAGAGTGAGAAACCTCTACCTCTCACGATGGTAGAGGCTTTGCACACATCGTGATTGTGTGAAGGGATGGAACGGGAGGGAAGAGTGGGCATTTACTGATGCCCAGGGCAGCCTGGCTGGGTATTGGGCAGCGAACTTGAGCTTCTCAGCACCACCAGGAATGGCGTCAGCCCCACTTTCAGGTACTAATGACAGCACTTCACACACACATTGTGCCAGGCACTGTTTATAACACTTTATGTTACTACACCCAATCCTATGACTGTTACATTCTCCCTTTTTGCAGTTGAGGAAACTGACAAAGCAAGACACAGAATTTTGCTTGATGTCATGCTGGAAGGTGGCAGACACAGGACTTTCCCCCTTCAACTTTTCAAAGCTTTCAACAGACAGGAAAATCAAAAGAATCGTATAATAGACACCCATATGTCCATGAAGTTTCAACAATTGTGAAAACTTTACTGTATCTGTTCATCTTCTATATATGTTTTGCTGAACCATGTCAAAGCTGCAAATTCCTAGCACTTCATTCCTACAACATAAATAACATGCATCGTAGAGACTTAAAATAATTCTCTCAAATCAACTAATACCCAATCCAGATTCAATTTTTCCCACTTGTCTTTAATGGCTGATGGTTTTGTACAAGCACCCACTCACATTGCACACATTGCAACTGGTTGCTTTCCCCCAGTGACTCCTTTTTTAGAGACCAGGTCTGCTGTCTTTCCCTTTGTGGTATTGTCTATGTTTTCCAATAGGTTGGTAAACTAAAGCCCCAGTGCCAAATCTAGTATGCTTATCGGTATACACGTGAGTGCTGTGCCTGCTTTCGTGTTTTCACACTGCAGATTTCAGTAGCTGTCACAGAATATGCTAAGCCCATGATACTATCTGACTCTCTCCATGTTTGCCGACCCCTGACCTATACTGTCCCTTCCCTTGACCTACCTTTTAGGTTGATTATACTGATATGGAGCTGGTTCAGCATGTAAACAATCTGCACAAATGGACATTTATAAAGAACCATTTATTCATCTATTGACTTTTCATGTTATTTTGGCAATTATACACTTTTTCCTCTCCCTAAATCACACAGGAAATCACATAAAACTGCATAGAATTAGTAGCCAACTCAGTGATTAGCCTACCCAATTAGTACATTAGTAGTGAGTACTTGATAGGGTTTGTTTGTTTGGGGGTTGGGTGATAGGGATATTTGACATTGTACAATGTCCTTTGGGTCAAATCAGGGCAGGGAACAAAGCGGGGCCCAGGGCTAGAGCTGTGAGTCCTGCTCACCATTGTTCAACTTTCTTCTCGCTAACAAACTGTCCATGAGGTCCCTCAGCACCCGGGGGCAAGAGAGCCAAGTACACAGGGGTCTCTGCCCCTTCTTCTGGGCTTTTGGTGGCCTTGGGTCCTGCCATGTCAGTTCTCACCCATCCTGGGCAGCAGGCATTCAGGAGGATCTTGTCCCCTTTCCTCTGCTCACTCAGTTTTCTGGCATGGATTCTGGACAGGACTGTGACACCAATCTTTGACACGCTGTATGCGGAACTGGGCCAGCCCTCCTTCTGGTGCACTCCATTTTTTGTGTCTTCCACAAACTTGTTCATGAGCCCCACCAGCTCCTCCTCCGTGATGGTCTCACTTCGAAACTTCTGCTGCAGCTCTGGGCTGCAGGCTTTAAGGGCCCTGATACTCAACACACTCGACACGTTCACCACTCTACCTAAAATACACCACAAATCATGATGTAGAAGGGTGTGCACAAGAATGGTGAACACAAAATTTGCTGGGATTGTGGATGAGAAAATTTCTATTTGAGAGACAATTACCAGTATGAGTTCTAAGAGGAATACACATAGACAGTACAGTGGTTACATAAGGAACTCCATTCCTGCCTTCAGGTTTTGGCTGAGTAAAGGAGTCAGGTGACATTTGAATAGGCTGTCCTTTGAGGTCCTAGTGAACCAGCGTCTTAGAAAACGTAGTAGAATTTTCCAGGGAGACAGGATGGGGTAAGGGGAAAAGGAGTTGAGAGTAAACTGTATGTGTACATTTTAAACTTTCTAAAAATGGATGCTTGTCTCAACTGGTGTTCACTTAATGGGTAAGTTCACCTCCTGCCCCATTATCTGGTATAAATATTATAGTAATTTACGCCAAAGAAATATGATAGTTTGTTGTGTCTAGAACACCAAGCATGTTGAAGGGGAGTTAAAATGGGCCTGGAGTTTGGCAGGTCAGATCATGGTGATCTGTACACACCCTGCTAAGGGTTTGGACTTTTCTCCTGAAGGACTTCTACTAGGGGAATGATCACACAGACAGTATGCAGACCTTTAGGAAAGAAAAAGACTCAGAAGTGAGGGCCCTTACGAGGGTTTGCAATTGTTGGCCTGTTGTAGGGCTAGGATGAGATGAATTGGGGAGAAACTCCAAGGACACAACTCATAGGACCTGGTAAGTGACCACCAGGGAGCAGGGCATGGTGACCTCCAGGGTCCTTGGTGGGTGGTCAAGATGACTTAGGGAGAAGAATGTGCATCCTCTAGAAATGTCTGTTTTAGATTGGGGGGTGTGGAGGAAGGCATCAGGAGGAGATGGAAAAGCAGGAAGATAAATACGTGTTGGCAGCTCCAAGAGGGTGACAGATTTCAAGGAGGCCCAATGAACTGATGGTAGTGAAGCCTCCACCAGCCTGAATAAGATTCTGACAGCAGGGAGAGAACACAGGATGGAATCCTAAGCGATTCCAGTGTGTGAGGAGCACGGGGTAAATAGGGCCTCTCTGAGGAGACATCTGAGCAAAGACCTGAAGGTTAAAAAGGAGGCAGGTGTGCAAAGATCAGTGGGACACCAATGGCTGTTGGAGAGTTAGGACCAAGTCCTGAAGCATATCTTGCCTGGAAGGGAGGAGACACAGTAAGGAGGCAGGGGCAGTTAGGACAGTAAAGCACGGGCCTGAAGAAGGGACCACAGGCAGGCAGGGGCCAGATCAAGCCTGAAAGGCGAGGTGTGGCATTCCCCATCAAACTCACCTTGGGGTTTTATTAGAGGAAGTAACTCTGTGCAGGCATCACGGGTACCAAAAAAGTTTGTTTTCATCGTGACTTCTGCTTGAATATGAAATGGTGTGGGATCAGCAACTTTTAGGGGAGAAAGAGACCAGAGTTAATAAATAGCAGCCATGGAATGTAATTTCATGGAATGATAATAAAAAGTGCATGTGAAATCTGGCGAATTCCGCCTAAAGTCTGGGTCTAGTTACAGTACTGTGACAATGTCAATCTCCTGGATTGATAAAAGTTCTGTACAGTATTTGTGTAATATGATGCCACTGGGGGAGGGTGCGTGAAGCGTGCACACACGGGCTCTCAATGTAGCCATTTTTTTTTGCAATTTCTTGTTTATTTCAAAATAAGTTAAAAGTTCACCCAACTGCCCTAAAGCCTAATCACAGAGAAACAGTGTAAGGAAAGCTTAGGAAATTTGGCTGGGTAACCCTCCCACACCCGTGCAATTTCTTGTTTATTTCAAAATAAGTTAAAAGTTCACCCAACTGCCCTAAAGCCTTATCACAGAGAAACAGTGTAAGGAAAGCTTAGGAAATTTGGCTGGGTAACCCTCCCACACCCGATCTCTCTGCTCTCCCAGCTGCTCCCAGCTCCGCCACCTCCTCCCTAAGGAGCCTATTCTAGACCCTTTAGCCACCCCGACCCTGGCTGCCGGCTCTTGGGGAGGGCACCTCCCCTCTGCGCACCCCGCACATACCCTTGAAGGCGATGCCGGCGTTGTTGATGAGCACGTCTAGGCCTCCGTACTCCTTGCGCAGGAAGTCGCGCAGCGCGCGGATGCTCTGCAGGTCGTCGATGTCCAGCTGGTGGAAGCGCGGGCTCAGACCCTCGGCCTCCAGCTGCTGCACGGCAGCCCGGCCCCGCGCCGCGTCCCGCGCCGCGAGCACCACGTCCCCAGAAAACTTCCGGCACAGCTCGCGCGCGATGGCGAAGCCGATGCCCTTGTTGGCCCCAGTCACCAGCGCCACGCGGGTGCAGGACGACATGGCTCGGTTGGGTAAGCAGGACACCTGCGTGAAGAACTGACCGAGCTAGGGATCTCGAACTGCGCAGCGAACCGTACCGACCAGGCAACTCCGGAGGAGGCCGGGTGCGCAGGCGCCAAAGATGCGCCCGGGGGGGGGGGGGGGCGCCCC